CCCCGCAGTGACGGCCAGCCACCAGCACCCGACCAGCAGCCAGCCATCCAGCAGCACAACTTCGGCAACATCGAGCATTCCGAAGCGAGCCAGCGCGCTCATAAGTACGCTGAATGGTTGGCACGCCGACAAGGAGACGGCGATTTCACAACCAGTGGGGGGGCAAGCGGCAGTGGAGGACCGGCCCCACCGCCTTCGGGAGGAGACGTACAGCAGCCCCCGCCGCTGCCACCGCCAGCGGAGCCGCCGCCGCCACCAGCGGCTGTCGACCCGCCGGCGCCAGCCTCAGACTCAGGCGACGCTCCCGCTCCTGCAGCCACTTCCGCCGCTGCTGCCGCAGATTTTCGACCTCCTGGACCTGCCCCCCCGGGCCAGGTCGACGATGACATCGAGTCCGATGGCTCGGATTCGTGAATGGGCCAAGATTGCGGAGGAGCAGGCGCGCCAGGAGACGACGTCGCGGCGCCCACCGAACACCGAGAACCTGCGCGGCACCAAGACGCAGCGCCAAGTTCAACAGGAGAACGCACCAGTGGCACTGCAACGTGACCCCAGCGCGAGCTCGAACCCCGCGAGCGCGCTGCCAAGCGCAAGGACTTCTTGGAAATTCTGCCCAAGTGCTTCCAGCGGCCGAAGGACACGAACAAGGTCGACCTCTACCTAGACAACTACTTCCAGAAGCACGCGGACGAGCTCCACGCAAGCACACGACTCCATGAGGCACTTCTCCCGGGCAACGCGACCGCTAAGGAGCTCAAGTACGACGCGCTGAGTGCCACCGAGAAGAAGAACATGGACGCCGCCATGAAAACCGAGTGGTCCAAGTGGACGGAGTTCGGCGCCTACAAGAAGCTCCCGCCCAAGGAGCTGAAGGAGCTCCTGCGGCGCAACCCTGGCACCCGCCCTGCGGGCGCGCGCTGGGTGCTGACCAGCAAAGGCCAGAACGTCATGAAGGCGCGCCTGGTCGCGCAGGGTTGCCAGGGGGATAAGTCGCAGATCAGGGCGGACGCGCCTGCAGGGTCTAGGGACTCGCCGTACCTGACCCTGGCCGCCGCGGCCCAGAAGGACTGGGACATCTCGTCCTGCGACGCGATGGCGGCCTGCCTGCAGTCGGGTAACATTGAGCGGCTACTGCTCCTGCGCATGCCGGCCAAGAACCCGCCGCCGGGGACCCGGCCCGGCGAGATCGCGATGGCCACAGGCGCGATCTACGGGACGCGCGACGCCGGGTGGCAGCGGTACCTCTATGCGCAGAAGGTCTTCGCCGAGCATGGCCTCGTAGAGAGCGAGCTCGAGAAGGGCCTCTACTACTTCTATGACGAAGGTGGGCTCGCCGCGGTGGTCCACTCACACGTGGGTGACTTCCTTATCGCCCAGCGCAACAACGCCACCAGGTGGAAGGCGACTATCACATCGCTGGGGAAGAAGCTACACCTCAAGCCAGTCGAAGGGGCCATCAAGTACTGCGGACGCACGATTACCAAGCTCGACGACGAGTTCCGCGTGACCCAGGCCACCGCTGCCGCACAGGTGGACTACGTCGACTTGAAAGCCCAGAAGGGCCCAGGAGCTGAGGACCGACTCACCGCCACCGAGGTGACGAGCTACCGCCACGCGCCCGGGCAGCTGGTGCGGCTAACTGTGCAGACCCGGGTGGACATCCTGCCCGGTGAGCTTTGCAGCTCGACGCACCGACGTCGCTACCGTGGCCGACGCGAAGACGCTCAACAAGACAGTCGCATATGTGCACTCCGCCGCGAACATCGCGATCGCGCTCAAGCGCAAGCTCGTCGACCTGGAGACGGCGATCACCACGTGCTTCAGCGACGCCGCGTTCGCCAACGTGGACGGCGTCAAGACCCAGTGGGGCATGGTGATGGGGCTCGCCCATCGCCCGCGCGACGTCGTCGGCGGCCGGTACGACCTGTGCCTGCCCGTCGCCTGGCGCTCTGGCACAGTCAAGAGGTCGGTGAAGTCGACCCTCGCTGCCGAGGGCAGCGCTACCCTCGAGGGGTTGGAGACCAACGCGTGGTTCCGACAGCTGCTGACCGAGGCCTACAACCCCAAGACGGCGCTCGAGCAGATCGACGCGCTCGCCGACAAGCGCCCTGGGGAGATCTACAGCAACAGCAAGGGTCTCGTGACGCACATCGCTTCAGATGTGGGCCAGTCTACTGACAAGCGGTTTCGCATCGTCGCCTCCATGATCAAGGAGGCCGTGCACCCCAACAGCGCGCTCAAGCTCAGCTGGATCCCTACCTGGACCATGGTCGCGGACGCCTTAACGAAGACGATGGAGGCTGGCGTCCTGCTGTCGTTCTTCGGGGCTCGCAAACATACCTATGGGACCCGGCAGCCATGCGCTGCTATGCTCGCATCAGTCCTATTCACCTGCCTTGGAAAGGTCAAGGGACAGCCTACGCCTACGCCGACTATGCCGGACTACAGCTTCGATATTGGCCTGTTGACGTTCACGCTGGTCCTCGGCATGGCTATCGGTTTCGGCATCTTCATGACGCTCTGGACGATCCCGCGGCAGAACAGCGCGATCGCCAACGAGGAGAGCGCCGCCGAGGCGAAGGCCATGGGTGAGCACCTTGAATGGGACGGCCGCATGCTCGGCCGACGCCGCGGCGTACCACCCACGATCCCACAGGATCGTGACCACGATGGTGACATCACGATGTCCCACGCGGACGTATTCAGCAGCGCACAGGCATCAAGTTCCGCAGCATCGGCTGCGATTCAGCAGCCGCCGCCGCCGCCACAGGTACCGACAGAACCACCACCAGCCAGCGAACCGCCATCACAATGCTCTGCAGCATCAGCACGGGGATCTGGACGATGAGAACAGTAAAATCGCAGGGGAATTCGGCCCCTGCATCACCAACCGTGGTTTCCGTAACGAGTTCATCGGGTTCCGTTTCAGCCTCATCGGCCGGTGTTGTGTCGTGGAGCGGATCTTCCCCGACGGTGCAGCCGAGTGGCATGATCAGTTGCGCGGCTGGCATTCCTCATCATGATGTGGTCATCGGCCACAACCCGCGTACTGTATACATCACTTGCAAGACCTGCAAGAAGCACGCTTCGTGGCTGCTTCGGCAGTGTCATTTTGGAAATCCCGATTTCACGATCTTCCCGGAGAGTGTGATGAATGACCTCAAGGGCCGTTGGTGGAAGCTCGCAGTCAGAGATGTTTGGCAGGGATCAGATCTAGCGGACAAACTGGCGAAGCCGAAGAAAAAGGTGACCCCCGCGTGGTTTGACGGCAGTTTGGCCGATCAGACCGGAAATGTTCTACTGCCTATACCATATACGCCCTGTCAAGATTCATGTATTCCGCATCGTTGCCAACACCATACGCCCGGTCAAGATTTATGCATTCCGAATCGCAGCTTTTACACCCGGAAAAAATCCCCGCGTAACACCGCGTTTTTTTGGAAGCTTCATTCGTTTCAGTGCGCACAATGTTTGTTGTGATGACGATCGCACCTAGTATATTGAGAAGATGGCTATATTCCTTGTGGATTCTGTCGCATCGCGATCGAACCCTGGCCATTGCTGAGAATACCCTGTATGCTGCGTAATACAGTGCAAGCCGTTTGCTTGCTTATCTTCGTGGTTTTTGCCGGCGAGTGACTTGTTTGCTATAGTCCCCGCTCAGGCCTGTCAGAGGCCACGACCGACCGAAACGGCGACTAGGAGGAGTGTGGTTCAAGCTCGCTCCCGAAGGGTTTTGTGTTGCATCCCTTGCCCACCGCTGCCGCTTTATTTCGAACTAGGGCCCTTGGCCTTAGAGCTACGCCCCTCGCGGGGCCGCGAGTAAGAAGATCCATCGGCAATCTTCCATATCACACCTTGCACTCTCCCTTGACTGTTCACTGTAAAGTCTTAGCCTCGATCACTCCGTACTCGGCATCTTGTTTGCGTTTACCTCCTGCCATCTTGAGGCTGGTCGGCTCTTTCGCCAGCACAAAACATTCATCATAGGCCAGCCTTATCCTTTTGGTCTGTCTACTTACGTAGGTCAGCCTTTTCAGCTCGCGACAGCCCTTCAGCACGACGGTTTTCACTGCCGCCAGCCTCGCCTCTCCTGCTCTACTTGTCAACGTGCTCGTTTACCTTAAGCGCTGCGCGCCTGGACTGACACGGCTTGACACTTACCTGATGGGAGGGTACTCGCGGGGGAGGAGTGCCAAGCTAACACGAGGCACTGCAGCGTACACTCAGAGCCGCATGCTTGTGTTACATGTACCGCGTTGCACGTCTAACTTTCTGCCTCGTCACAGCTTGCCTGGATAAACTAAGGGGGAGTGTGGATTCGATCTAAGGCTAAGTGTGTCTTTGGGGGGCACACTCCGTTTCTCTGTTCAGGCCCAAATCTCTGATGAAGGTCAGACTCATGTCTGCGCTGGAACTCTGATTCAAGTCTGGCCCTCAGCACCAACTCCGATTTAGGTCTGACTGGAACTCTGGTTGAACTCTGGCCGTACGGCCCAAGTCCGATTTAGGTCTGACTGGGGAACTCTAAAGTAAGTATGATTATGATTTGGCTTGGGTCCGCCGAAACCAATGTCGCGGCGTCGGCCCAGAACGCCGCCGGGTCGGCATGGGGTGGGGTCACCACGGTACCACCAGGTTTAGCTCATGACTGCGGCCTGGCGGACGCATACTCTGAAGGCCTAGGGGCCTGCACGCTTTTCGCGTATCCTTGCCGTTCCTTGTCTTGCTGCGCCCGTCGGGCCTCATTCGCTTGCGCTTGGTCTAAAGTCAGCATGCTGCAATTCGTTTGCACTCACTCACCAACGCCACGAGCTTGCTCTTCAGGTCCGCTCATTGTCGAACATGAAGAGGGGGAGGAGGAGGAGGAGGAGGAGGAGGAGGAGGAGGAGGAAGAGGAGGAGGAGGAGGAGGAGGAGGACGAGGACGAGGACGAGGACGAGGACTGGGCGAGGCGTCTGGGACGGCAGGTGGCCTGGGGAGGGGCGCGCCCCCGCGGCTCCGGCTGCTGCGCCCATCCGCCCGAGGGCCAGGGGCCGCTCGCCGCGGGCGCGGGCGTGCCCTCCGCTCTCCACGCTGGCTGGCTGCCCGCGCGCTGGAGGGAGGAGGGAAGACGAAGCCAAGACAGGGCTGGCATCGGGTGAGGACAGATCGAGAATCTCTGAGATCCGGTGGCTCTGCAGGATGCATCAGGCGCCGCGGCCTTCTCAAGGCGCTCCGGAAGGCTCTGAGAGCGTTTTGGAACGCTCTGGAACGGATATATCCTCGTCCTAGCCCCGTCCGAAAGAGGGAAGCGGAGGGGATCCTGGACCCCCTGGGCCATGAAACGATGACGACGGAAGTTTTCCTGTATGTTCAGCCTCTGGGGGCCGTTCCTGGGCCTCGGGACTGTCAGGAACGACCCATGATGAACAACTTTTCCGTTCGAATGGGTCGTGACCTCTGGGGGTCGACGTTATGAGCAAATCATGACGTCGGGGGTCTGGGAGAGGGAGTGAGGGGGGGAGGGAGGGAGGTAGACGGGCCTCTGGGGGACGGGGCGGACGAAGGGAGCAGAAGGAGTGAAGGGAGGGAGGGGAGGAACGGATGGGGAGGCAGGGTACACGCGTACTGCAGGTCTGAGCGCGCAGGGGGGCGGGGAGCGGAAGGGCAAGAGCTCGCGAGGGAGGGAGGGCGGGGGGGAGGGAGGAGAGGCGGGAGGGAGAGGAGGGAGAGGATGTAGGACGGGTGGAGGGGCAGGCAAGCGAAGGCAGAGAAGAAGAGGCGAGAGGAGAGGCGGGGCGCCGAAGGCCAGGGGCTGCTCGCGCTGGGGGCAGCCGTGCTCGCGCTGAGGGCCGCGGACCAGCCGCTGGCAGCGACGCCCTCCTTCGGCGCCGTGGCGCCGAGCGCCCAGGAACGCCCGGGGCCGTCCGCCTGGCGGCCGTCGCCCAGGCCCAGGGGCGGGTCGCGCCACGGCGGGCTGCCCGGCCGCTGCGCCGGTGGCGACCCCGCGCCCTGCGCGGCCTGCGCGTCCAGCCAGGCCCACGGCCCGCTGGGCCCTGCGTCCGCCTGCTGCGCCGACGGGCGGGGCGCCAGGGGCCGCGGGGAGGCCGTCGACGATGCCGCCGACAGGCCCTGGAGCCTCTGCGAGGAGACGTCGGGCGGCGCTTGCGGACCCCAGGTTTGCGCGGCCTGGAGCCGCGGAGAAGCGTCGAGGGACGCTGGCTGGCCCCAAATTGGCGCGGCCTGGAGCCGCGGAGAGACATCAAGGGATGCTGGCTGGCCCCAGGCTGACGCTGCTTGGAGCCGCGGAGAGACGTCAAAGGACGCTGGCTGGCCCCAGGCTGAGGCTGCTTGGAGATGCGGGGGGACCTCGGGCGGCGCCGGCTGGCCCCAGGCTGACGCGGGCCGGAGCCACGGTGAGACGTCAGCAGGCGCCGGCTTGTCCCCGGCCGATGCGGCCTGAAGCCGCGGGGACTCGTCGGGCGACGTCGTTTGGCCCCAGGCTGACGCGCCCTGAAGCCGCGGGGAGACGCTGGGCGACGTCCGCTGGCCCAAGGCTGACGCGCCCTGAGGCCGCCACGGGTCTGCGGCCAGACTGGGGGGGTCATTGGCCGGCTGGCCCCAGGCCAAGCGGGCCCGCATCCGCGAGATGCCCTCAACGCGCGAGGACGCCTGCTGGAACGACGGCGGCGGGCCACACGTCGACGGGCTCGCGGGCGGCCCCGGGCGTCGGGGCGACGTCGACGTCGACGGGGCGCGGCCTCCACGGCGGCTGCGGTACCACTCTAGCCTCTCGTCGAGTGTCAAGTACGGCGGGGAGATCTCGCGATCCAGGGTGGCCTCCAGCGGGCTGCGGCGCGTCGGGGAGGCCGCATGCCCGTCGGCTGCGTGGTGGGCAATCGCCCCTTGGCGCGCTCCATCTACCTGTCCAGTCGGAGGCGCCGATCCTCCGCACGCGGACGGCGTGCTGGCCCCGTCATAAGCCTCACCGTCGGGCGTTCCCCGCCGTCGTCGAGCCTCGTCCGAGTCGCGGCCCGGCGTCGCCCCGGGAGCCCCGAGGGCGTCACTGGCGGGCGCCTGGCGACCTGGCCCTGGCTGTGATCTGGCAGCCCCCTCCGCGCCTTCGCCACCGCCGCCGCCGCGCACCGGCAGCGCCCTGGCCGCCACCTCGGACCTTCCTTCCGCGCCTGAGCCCCCGTCAGGAGCCCGACTGTCGGGCGTCACCCGCCGCCGAGCCTCCTCCTCGCGGCCCGGCGTCGCCGGAGCCCCGAGGGCTTCACTGGCGGGCGCCTGGCGACCTGGCCCTGGCTGTGATCTGGCAGCCCCCTCCGCGCCTTCGCCACCGCCGCCGCCGCGCACGGGCAGCGCCCTGGCCGCCACCTCGGACCTTCCTTCCGCGCCTGAGCCCCCGTCAGGAGCCCGACTGTCGGGCGTCACCCGCCGCCGAGCCTCCTCCGCGCGGCCCGGCGTCGCCGGAGCCCCGAGGGCTTCACTGGCGGGCGCCTGGCGACCTGGCCCTGGCTGTGATCTGGCAGCCCCCTCCGCGCCTTCGCCACCGCCGCCGCCGCGCACGGGCAGCGCCCTGGCCGCCACCTCGGACCTTCCTTCCGCGCCTGAGCCCCCGTCAGGAGCCCGACTGTCGGGCGTCACCCGCCGCCGAGCCTCCTCCGCGCGGCCCGGCGTCGCCGGAGCCCCGAGGGCTTCACTGGCGGGCGCCTGGCGACCTGGCCCTGGCTGTGATCTGGCAGCCCCCTCCGCGCCTTCGCCACCGCCGCCGCCGCGCACGGGCAGCGCCCTGGCCGCCACCTCGGACCTTCCTTCCGCGCCTGAGCCCCCGTCAGGAGCCCGACTGTCGGGCGTCACCCGCCGCCGAGCCTCCTCCGCGCGGCCCGGCGTCGCCGGAGCCCCGAGGGCTTCACTGGCGGGCGCCTGGCGACCTGGCCCTGGCTGTGATCTGGCAGCCCCCTCCGCGCCTTCGCCACCGCCGCCGCCGCGCACGGGCAGCGCCCTGGCCGCCACCTCGGACCTTCCACCGCGCCTGAGCCCCCGTCAGGAGCCCGACTGTCGGGCGTCACCCGCCGCCGAGCCTCCTCCGCGCGGCCCGGAGTCGCCGGAGCCCCGAGGGCTTCACTGGCGGGCGCCTGGCGACCTGGCCCTGGCTGTGATCTGGCAGCCCCCTCCGCGCCTTCGCCACCGCCGCCGCCGCGCACGGGCAGCGCCCTGGCCGCCACCTCGGACCTTCCTTCCGCGCCTGAGCCCCCGTCAGGAGCCCGACTGTCGGGCGTCACCCGCCGCCGAGCCTCCTCCGCGCGGCCCGGCGTCGCCGGAGCCCCGAGGGCTTCACTGGCGGGCGCCTGGCGACCTGGCCCTGGCTGTGATCTGGCAGCCCCCTCCGCGCCTTCGCCACCGCCGCCGCCGCGCACGGGCAGCGCCCTGGCCGCCACCTCGGACCTTCCTTCCGCGCCTGAGCCCCCGTCAGGAGCCCGACTGTCGGGCGTCACCCGCCGCCGAGCCTCCTCCGCGCGGCCCGTCGTCGCCCTGGGAGCCTCGAGGGCGTCATTGGCGGGCGCCTGGCGACCCTCCGCCAGGCTTTCACGTGCGTGGAGGCTCCTCCGCCTTCGCCCCTCCTCTGCGCGGCTCCGCGCGGCAGCCTCGGCGGCCTCGGAGGATGCACTCACGGGCGGCTTCTGCGACAGCAAGTCGTCGCGGCGCGCTTCTGGCTGGGCTGCGGCAGTTCCCTCCGCGAGTCCTACAGCGGGACTGTCACCTGAGAGGGGGGGAAGCTCCTCGCTCTCGTCCTCCCCGGGAGCTCCTCGCTCTCCTCCTCGCTCTCCTCCTCCTCCTCCTCCTCCTCCTCCTCCTCCTCCTCCTCCTCCTCGCTCTCCTCCTCCTCCTCCTCCTCCTCCTTCTCCTCTTGCTCTTCTCCTCCCCCCCTCGTCCTCCACCTAATCCTCCTCTTCCTCCTCATTCTCCTGCTTCTCCTCCTCCTCCTCCTCCTCCTCCTCCTCCTCCTCCTCCTCCCCCTCCTCGTCCTCCTCCTCCTCCTCCTCCACCTCCATCGTCGACCTCCACCACTTGAGTGGCGGAGCTTGCCCGAGGATGGCCACATCTGCAGGAACAGGCCGGCCTCTGTGGACATGCGGGGCCTCCAGGGGCCATGGGCACGCCTACGCAACCGCTAGACAAGTGCCACAACGCCGTCCCCTGGAGCGCCAGGCGCAACTCGTTGACCTCGCTCCCCGCCGCCCTCGTCATCGTCATACTCCTCGCCCTCCTCTTCCTCCTCCTCGTCCCCCTAATTCGAATTCAGGGGGCTGGCCATGCCTTTCACACGACCTCTCGCCCGCCTTGCTCCTCCTCCTCCTCCTCCTCCTCCTCCTCCTCCTCCTCCTCCTCCTCCTCCTCCCTCCTTCCTCCTTCCTCAACCCTCCACCCTCCACCACCGCCAACATGGATCCGGAGAACATACTGCCGGGCTGCGCAGAGCTGCTCCTGGTATCCTGTATCCTATATGAGCATTCCCACCTGAGAGGCCCCTAAAGCAATCCATCGCTGAACGCTGACCCCCCTCTGGCGGGTCTGCCGTCAACCCTCGAGGGTCCAGGAGGGAGATTGTTTCCGCACGTTTTCTGACACGGGAGGGGGCCTTTTCGGGGGAGGTTCTGGGCATGGCGACACACGCGAACATTCCGCACGCGGTAGACGCAAACGCGCGACACACACACACACACACCACTTATCGAGACCGGTCTTCACTATCCGCTTACTCCTCTGCTTCCTCTTAGCCTGCACACCCGTCGCTGCCGCTGTCGGCTCTGGTCATCGAGTCGAGCGCAGCCGTCCCCCCGCCCCCCGCCGCAAGTAGCTGTACTGTGGATGAGCGGGGCTGGAAGCTCCCAGTGGACAGCACAATCAGGTCTCCCAGCGGCCCTTGGAGAAGAGGAGGGGAGGAGGAGGAGGAAACGACGAGACGTCGAGGACACCCCTGCCAGCGTGCATCTCTTCAAAGTGCTCCTTCACTCTACGTCTTGACTGAAACAGGCCTCATCAGAGAGGAGGTACCACCAGCACTGAGGCGCTGCTGGTGGGCCTTTAAATCCAGGGCCTCTTGCTCCTCCCTCCTCCTCCTCCTCCTCCTCCTCCTCCTCCTCCTCCTCCTCCTCCTCCTCTGTATAATTGCCTTCGTTCGGAGTGGTGAGGGGGAGGAATGCGGGCAAGAGTTAGAATCATACCAACAGCGTCTTAGATTTTGGGGAAGGGACGCTCCAAACACCGAGAGGCAGCGGATATGGATAACATCTGGCCTCTCTTAAAGTCCGAGACGCAATCGATATGGATATGATCTTCCCACGCAAGGAACAAAGTGGATCTGCATCTGTATAGTTGTCCTCCTCCAAAATGGGGCTTCTGTCGAGGCCTCCTAGATGGGCCATCGGTCCGGGTCGGAAGATTATACCGCATGGCCGATGCATCGCCAGCCGCATCGGAGATGCACTGGCGCTGTCGGCGGTGCATCGGCGACGTCGGCGTGGCGGAATCCGGGCTCCACATCGAGCCGCATCGCGGATGCATCGGCGATGCGGCGCGATCCTCCCACCCCATCTCCTCCGACCCCATTTGTCGAGTAGGGGACCGACTCAATAGTGGATTTACCCCCAAATTGGTTTTCTCGTTGAATCTACAGAATTATACGCAGCATGCTGGTAGGTCAACGGGACAATCTTCGTTTTCTTTTCGTGGAATCGACTGAACAACCTGTTCTGGGGGAAGCCAATTCTGGAGCCCATCCCCTACTCGAATCTGGGAGGCCTGGCGTCCTCCAACTCCGCTCCCTCTGCCGCGCGACTGGGCGGTCCGGCCTTCACTCTCCGCGTCTTCCTCCGGCCCAGCCGCCCCGTGGGCTTCCGTGGCTCGGCGCGCTGGGGCGCGGCGGGGGGTCGCACCGGGCACGCCCGCATCCCCCTCGGTGCCCTCCCGCTGCGGGGCACCTCGCACGTGACTGTCCTGCGGGTGCTGCCTCTGGAGGGAGGTCGATCAGGGGCCCCGGCGAAAGCCCTGGGGGGCAATGTGTAGACGTTGCGCCCGTTTGGGGGGCGGACCTTACTTCACAGATCCACGGTTTCTGTGCATGGCGTTGCGTTTGCAGAGTCGCTGCGTTTCGGGGGCGACGCCGCGTTGGCTTCGTGCGCGTGCTTTCGTGCCACGCGGCACGATGCACCACCCGCAGGAATGCGCGGAGAACCTGTGCGCGTGCGAAGTGCCAGTCTGTCCAGGCTGCGTCTGCGACGTGCCAGCGATGCCATGCACGATATATCTTGGAGCTGAGGGATCGACTACAGTGGAGGCCAGTCCACAAGAAACCTTCCACAAGAAACCCAACCCCGAGACACCAGGACGTCCGTTGATTTTCGGAGTGGGAGCGTGACGCTCTACATCGCAAAAACATTGAACCCCCCAAAAACCCAGGGCACCCTGGAGGCAAGCAAGGTGTTTCTTGGCATGGGTCTCCACAGTAACGCATTTTCGGCCTCCTCCTGGCCCGTGGTGGCCGCTGGGCGCCAGCTCGGTCGATGTTCCTCTACGTAGCTCTGTTGGCCCGCTGCTGCTCGGGCTGGCCTCTATCTTGGCCTTGATCCGCGCTGTCGCGTACAAGCAGGCTCGTGCTTCGGCTCGAAGCCCGAACAAAAAGGCAGGAGTGGAAGGAGTGGCGGGGCAATGCTGTGGGAGGGGACGGCGCGAGGGGGCACGCGAGGGCACGAGGAACCGAGAGGGAGAACGGGCGGGGAAGGCGGGGAGGGAGGAATCGGAGAAGGTAGGTGGGCGATGGGTCCGAGGGTGTGGGTGTCTGGGGGGAGGGGGGCAGTGGGGCGAGGAGGGGTCAGAAGGCTCCAGGCCAAGAGGACTGCGGATGGGAGGGCTAAGGCAGCGAGAGGGCCGGAAGCGGCAGGATGGCAAGGTGTGTTCAGAGGGCTAGAAGGTCTTAGAGCAGGTCGAGCAGAGGTGGGCGGGATCGATGATCAGCCTCCTGGTGCCAGGGGGGGTTCTACAGAATGCTCTCTGATCTGTAGAATGAAGCTCCTCCCCGTCCTCGTCTTGGCGATCGTGTACGCTTTCTCCTGCACCTCCCCTTCCTCTTACTTCAGTTCCTCCTCCTCCTCCTCCTCCTCCTTCTCCTGCTCCTCCTCCTCCTCGTCCTCCTCCTTTTCCCCCTCCTCCTCCTCCACCTCCTCCTCTCATCATCCTCCCTCCTCCTCCCTCCTCCTCCTCCTCCTCCTCCTCCTCCCCCTCCTCCTTCTCCCCCTCCTCCTCCTCCTCCTCCTCCCTCCTCCTCCTCCTCCATCTCCACCGTTTCCTCCACCTCCTGCTTCGCCTCACTCTTTCTCCTCAGCATGTCCCTCCTACTACTGGTGCACCTGCTGCTGCTGCTGCTGCTGCTGTTGCTGCTGCTGCTGCTCCCTCCTCCTCCTCCTCCTCCTCCTCCTCCTCCACCTCATCCTCCTCCTCTTCCTCCTCCTCCTCCTCACCCTGATCCACTTCCTCTCAGTATCCCCTTCCTTCCGCCTCCGCCTCGTCCTCATCAGCTTCTTCCCCGTCTGCCGCCCCACCGCTTCCCAACCCTCGTCGTCGTCGTCCTTATGTTCCTCTTCCTCCTGCTCCTCCTCCTCCGCCTCCTGCTCGTCCGTCGCCGTCACACTCCGATGTACTCCTCACCACACACATGAAAGTATCCCAGTGCGACCCTACCTAGGAGTTGGAGCCTCTAGGAGTTGGAGCCTCTTGCGTTGCTTTGCGTTGCGTTGCTTGTGCTTTGCTTTGCTGTCGCTGCTGTTGATTTGCATTTGCGTTGCTGCTATGCTATGATATGCTCTGCTCTGTTCTGCTATGTTCTGCTATGCTCTGCTATGCTATGATCTGCTATGCTATGCTCTGCTCTGCTCTGCTATGCTATTATATGCTATGCTATGCTATGCTGCGCTGTGCTAAGCTGTGCTGCGCTGTGCTGCGCTATGCTATGCTAGGCTATGCGATGCTTTGCTATGCTATGCTGCGCTATGCTATGTTATGCTGGGCTATGCTATGATATGCTGTGCTGCGCCATGTATGATATGCTACGCTATGCTATGCTATGCTGTGCTCTGCTATGCTAAAGTTCAGCGAAGCTAAGATGAAGGTAATCTAAGCTAAGATAAACCTGAGCTAAGATGAACCTAAGCTAAGCTAAGATGAAATAAGCTAAGCTAAGATGAGATAAGCAACACTAAGCTAAGGTGACGTCACTGGGGGAACCGCGGGCCGGATACCGGGGGAACCGCCTGGGGCGCTTTCCACTGCCCGGCCCCTTTAAGCCCAGAGAGTAAGAACCCTTCTAGGCAGAGCCTAGGTAGGGAATTAATAACCACAAAAGAAGGGACTGCCGCCAGCAACATTCAGGGGGGGATTATCAGAGTCAGCGCGCGCTGGTCTACCGGACACGGCCTACTACAGAACTTCCTCCTCCTCCTCCTCGTCCTCGTCCTCGTCCTCCTCCTCCTCGTCCTCCTGTTCCTCCTCCTCCTCCTCCTCCTCCTCATCGTCGTCCTCCTGCTCCTCCTCCTCCTCCTCCTCCTCCTCCTGCTCCTCCTTCTCCTCCTCCTCCTCCTCCTCGTTCTCCCCTCCTCTCTCCTCTCTCCTCCTCTCCACCTCTCCTCTTCTCCTCCTCTCCCCCTCTCCTCCTCTCCTCTCTCCTCTCTCCTCTCTCCTCTCTCCTCTCTCCTCTCTCCTCGCTGCTCTCTCCTCTCTCCTCTCTCCTCTCTCCTCTCTGCTCGCTCCTGTCTCCTCTCTCATCTCTCATCCCTCCTCACTCCTCCCTCCTCTCTCCTCTCTCCTCACTCCTCCCTCCTCCTCTCCTCTCCTCTCCTCCTCTCCTCTCCTCTCCTCTCCTCTCCTCTCCTCCTCCTCCTCCTCCTCCTCCTCCTCCTCCTTCTCGTCCTCCTCCTCCACCTCCTCCTCCTCCTCCGCATCCTCCGCATCCTCCACCTCTTCCTCCTCCTCCTCCTCCTCCTCCTCCTCATCCCGGCTACGCCCAGAGTGTTCTAGTACGCAGTTGCGTCCGTGCATGCGGATTCCGCCGACTCCATCTGCCAGGGGCGAGAAGGCGTCTGAGACACTTGGCTGTCCACCTCCCAATGGTCCAACCTTACGTTTGGGGGCGCTGGCACATCCGTTTGGGCGCTGAAGCCTGCATGAATCGTTTGTTGCAGCTCTGCAGCCCCCAAGATAATTGAAATGGGCCACACAGTGGCCTCCATCAGCGCCATTCGAGACGAACGCTATTTTCAAATATGAAAAATCAGCGGTTTGCCTTCTCTGTAATATTGATGGCCTAAGCCCGACTCGGGACAGCTTCCGAAAGCCAGAAGACGCCCGCCAGGCGGCACTATACAGCCCCAAGGACCGCACCCTCGCCCGTGCCCTCCTGCCCTCCCTGCCTCCCCCTCTCCCCCTCCTCAGGGCCTTCTTGCCAATCCTGCCTCGCCCAGCCCCGTGCCATCCTGCCCCCTTTGTGCCCTCCGTGCATCCTCTGCCTCACTGCCCTCCGTGCCACCCCGCCGAAAATGGAACGCCGCCTATGCGAATGGTGGGCACGCCCTCCACCCCAGCGCGGCTGCCATGCCGATGCTCCTCCTGCCAGGGGCGAGCGTCGCGGGCGTCGCCGCCGCTGCCGTCGCTGACCGTCGTCGTGGCCGCGCCCTTCACCGCCTCCGCCGTCGCCATCGCCGTCGCCGCCGTCAGTCGTCGCCGTCTCCGCAACCGGCGTCGCCGCCACCGCCACCGCCGTCGCCGTCGCCGTCGCCGTCTCCGCAACCGGCGTCGCCGCCACCGCCACCGCCGTCGCCGTCGCCGTCGCCGTCGCCGACGCCGTCGCCGTCGCCGACGCCGCAGGCGGCGCCGCCGTCGTCGTCGCCGTCCGCCCCTGCCCGCGCGGGCTGGGCGACCAACGTAACGGGGCCAACTTTCGGGCTCCATGGGGGGGCCACAGGAAGGCCCCAGCTCGTAGATTCAGCGCCATGAGAAACACGGTGGAGGTCTCTCGCTCTGCGCGACCTCTGAGTGCTTATCTCGGGCCTCGTGGAGGCTCGCCTACGTCCAGAGAGATCCGGAAAGGAGCCTCTCGGATGTCCTCGCGCGCGGGGGTACCCAGGGGGGCACAGGCGGCCCCGGCGGACCTACGGGATTCGGCAAAACGCGCGACCTCGGGGGACCTCGGGGGGGGGGGGCACGGGGGAATCCCAGACGGATTCCTGGGAGTTCGGGGGAGCCCGAGCGCCCCAGAAGGCGTCGGGGCACGCCTGGAAGGGCCTCGACAGGTGGCCCGTGGCCTGCTGGCCCGGCAGCTTCTGGCGCGGCGGGACGGCCCGGGTGGACGGCGGAGGCGGCCCTCGCAGCTGGGCGACGTGAAAGCTAAGATGCTCGAACTATAGAATCCCAGACCACCGATGTCATGATTTCTGTCATGACGTCGACCCCCAAAGATTTCGACCCATTCCCCGAGACCGGTTTTTCACCCCGAGTCGTTTTCTGACGGTCCTGAGATCCAGTAAAGGATCCCAGGGGCCAAAAATTGTGAAGAACCTCCCGTCATGAATGTTCATTACTCGAGGGGGTCTGGAATGCCTGACCTCGCGCCTCGGGCCGCGCGGAGCGCGAGGCGGACTCGCCTCTACGGGCTCGCGCCAGGATCCCATCTGAGGGGGGGGAGGGGCAGCTCTCTGGCGCAGGCCGCGGCGCGTGCGCCGCGGTCATCTGCGCGCCCCCGCCTCGGGAGGCCTGGCACGTGCGCGAGCCTCGCGGAAACGACGCAGCGTTTGGACTCAAATCTGAAAACGAGAGCCTGTGCGCAAGTGCATATGCGGGCAGTGTATTCTGCTGCTTCTGTCGTCGCCTGGTGATCCGCGCCGTCCGCACTTGGCATCGAACACTACAAGGTGGCCGCCCGCCCTTGCCATACGTAGGGCCCAGGTCTGGCGCAGGCCGCTACTCTTGCGGCATGGCCGTCCCGAAACGCCCGGCCAGCAGAACGGCGCTCGGTGCCGTCGTCCGGTCACGCTGCTCGAAGTGTTGCCCGCGCCGCGGCCAGCTCAGCATGGGGGGACAAGGGGTCCTGAGGGAAACGGGTCCTAGACTTTGGGGCCTTCCCCCAGGACGAGATCGTCATCCTGAGACGGTTTCTGTTCTGACAGCCCCGGGGCCCGTGGACGGCCCCGAGAGCCCGAAAACGGCAACAAAAACCTCAGGACCCGTTTCCTTGAGGACCCGCTTCCTCCATGGCGACTCTAGGTGGCCGCACCAGCAGCATGTCAGCCATTCGGGTGGCGCGGGACAACACTACCAACATGTGCAACCACCACGCATCGTCATCAGAGCCGCGGCGTCCCTCTCCCTCTGCTGCTGACTCCTGTGTTAATTCCTGCTGGTGTCTGCTGCTCTGCCAGTATCTACTGGTGGCTGCTGATCTCTGCTGGTGTCGTGCCTGCCCGTCTCAGCTGGTGACCTCTGGTGTCTGCCACTCTCTGCTGCTGTCTCGGAGGTCTCCGGGACCTTCAACAGCATCCCAGAACCTCCTAACACATTTACCTGGTTGGCGCGACCCTCCGCAAGACGACGAAGACGTCGACAATGTTGACGACGGCAGCGGCTGCGGAGGCGACGGCCGTGGAGGAGAATGATCGGGTTCCGTTCCTTCCTCCTCCTCCTCCTCGGACATGCAGATTAAACGTCGGCACGAACGACCCCGTGACATACCCCTCTGACGGCTCCTCCTTGGTGCGCCCAGGTGCCACACCTGACATATCGCGGTGATCAGGGGGCTCTCGAACGAGAGGAGCCAGCGACTCCAAACGAGCGCCTCGTCCAAGACGCGAACTTGTAAGTGCAACACTCCATGGCGTCTCCTCCTCGGGGTGTCCAAGTGCTACGCCTGCTATATCGCGGCGATCACAAGCCTATTGAAAGACAGGGGTCGGCGACGCCAAATCAGCGAACCGTTGATCAAGATTGCTGGTGACCGCTGGCCAGCAGGTCCAATTCGGCACCGTCCACCCATCGGCTGGACACAGAGAGCGAACTAAGCCAGCGTCGCTCATCGTAGGTACCAGCCGCTCGCCCCCGACGACTGCCCTGACCTGGAACGCCAACCACGGTGGGCGCCTGGGAGCGTACTTGACAGGGCCATGGGCCGCGCTCCTGCCGCTCCCGTGGCCTCCCTCCCCCGGTCCCACTTCGCCCCAACTGCGCCTCCCCCGCCCACAGGAAGAACTGGGCCCACCAGCGGGGGAATGCGCCCCGAAACCAGACCATACCAGTACGAGCCCTCCTGCTCCTCCCCCCCCTCCGTCTTGTCATCATCACCCATCCCCACCAACCCGCCCTCCTGGTTCCCGAGCGCCCCACCCCCCTGGCGACTCCTTTCGGAACGGCATGGCTTGCAAAGGGTGTGGTTCGCAGCCCGCGCCCGGGGGGCGGACGAGAATCGCGGCAGAGATCTCCGCCGCTCTCCGAGGAGGCCCGACGAGAGCAACGTGATGCCCCCCGAGCCCCGGCAACGCGGATCGCAAACCGCAACTTTGGTGTCCGTTTTGTGGGGACCTGCGCAGCCCCCGGCGCTGTCCGGTTTGGGGCTGGTTTGGACCAGATTGGAACTGGATTTGGACTGGATGCGCCGCTTCATAGAGAAGACGAGAAGAACGAGGAGGGTGAGGAGGAATAGGATGGGCGAGGAGGAGCAGAAGAAAGTGCCGAACGCGGCCCGAATGCTGTCCACATGAAGGAAAAGCTGGCTTCACTGTCGCCGCCCAAGGCTCCCATGAACAGACATCGAACACACCCCGGCGTATCCACACCCTTCGTTAGAACAACATTGAGCTGCATAAGCATAAACTGACGGAGCTCCACGCGGATGTCGTGGATCTGCGCTGAACTCCCCCCCCCCTCCCCCTGCGCGCAGAGCGCGCAAGAGGCGGTGCAAGAGGCGGCGCCAGAGGCGCTGCCAGGGGGTTCCAGTACAGATCCAAGAAATCCGCGCGGAGCTCCGACGGTCTAAGCCTGTGCCTCGATGTCCTTCGATTTGCACACACACACAAGCGGATGGCTCTGCGCCTCAAGATCAAAGCTCAAGGCGGAAGGCCCAGGGCCGACAGCGCGCGGCCCAAGGCGTAGGGCCCAGGGCCCAGGGCTGGAGCTTGGGGCCCAGCGCTTGAGCGCCGCCGACAGCGCGGTCCCCGCCCCCCCCCCCCCCCGGGCGGCGGCGCCTCATCCTGCCGGGCCCCCATGGTGCCTAGCTCCCTCCGGGCGAGCTCGCCGCGCCGGGCGGCCTGCAGCCTGGTCGCGGCCACCTCCACCGCAGCGAGGTCCTCCTGCGGCAGGGGAGGCGGGGACCGGGCGATCCTCACCTTCGACCCTCCTGCTGGATCCTCCCTCTCCTCCACCTGAGGCCCTGAGACCCTGACGGCGAGCTGAAGTCCTCCGACGCAGCCATCCCCCCGCCAAGGGCGGTCGGCCCTGGGGGGGGGGGTGGATCTCAAGACTAGAGGAAGCCAGAACACTCCTGGGGCGGTCGCCCCCAAGGGAACTAGGGAGACAGGGGAATCAAATCATCACTTCGAGGAAGGAGAATAGGCGGGGGACGTGGTGGCGCCGAGGCAGGCGACGAGTTCAAGCTGGGAGGAGTCGGGCCTATTTGGCGGCGCGCAGAGGGGGGTAGGGGGAGGGAGGAAGGCTTCTTAGAATGAAGCTGTTTCTTTGAAGGCGCGGGCCTTACATCTACTGACAACGCCCGCGCCTCCTAAGAAGCAGGGGTGCTTGTAAGAAACCGTCCCCCCTCCCCCTACCCCCCTCTGCGCGTGGTCGACCTATCCCAGGATGCCCTATTGGGGGGGAAGGTTGCGCCATCTGCGATGGCGGCCGCGAGTGTGACATTCCGTCATCCGCCCAGTAGTTCTCGTCCGCCCCCACCCCTGTGTGGCGGTGGCGCTGCAGGCGGAGGAGGATACGTGTTGCTACCTCGCCGCGACTGCCGTGGGTGATAAGAGTGCCTAAGTGGGGTCAGAGTGGCGATGCGGGAGTGTGAGCGTGGCAGCAGCAAGCCTTTTAAGCGGTGAGAGCGGCAGTGAAGCGAGATGAGATCAACCCTGCTGGGTGCGAGATCCTCCTCCTCCTCCTCCTCCTCCTCCTCCTCCTCCTTCTGCTCCTCCTCGTGCCCTGTGAATGCTGCACGCTTCCCTCTCTTGCGCACGCGCCTGCTCCTGCCCTGGCCCCTGCTGGGGATCCGCCGGCAGGCCCCCTGTTCTGCCTCCCGGCACCGGCGTGGCTCGACGCCACGCATCACAGTGCATACGCAGTGTACCACTTGGGGGGGACACCAAACACTGCTTGGATGATGCTTGCGACCAGGTGCTATGGGACACTTCGGAACACGCGCTCCTCCAGCACATGCAATAAACGGCCTCCGCTCCGCCCGCGCTGCCCCCACAAATTCAAAGGGCCCGCTGGCCGGCTCACCGACAAACCCTGCGCGCTCCGCTGCGCTCCGCCGGCGTGGACCGCGAGCGGAGCCACGCAGGCCGCAGGTGGCCCACAGGACGCCGCTGTCACGAGGCAGCCGCGCCATCCCGGGCGGAGGGGCGGACCGAGGCAGAGAGCGGCACGGAGCAGGAGTGGAGGCAGAGGAGGCTGGAAGAAGACGCGCACCTCTGAAGCTGCGTGCCACTGCCAGAGCGTGCCACAGCTAATGAGGTGCCCTAGGGCACAGGACCGAGCTGCACTCGAAGGATTCAGGCCCTGAACCCCCTGCGGTGGGCCTGCGTTGCGTCAAAGTCACAGGCCCTCCGCAGCAGGCAGAAGCGCAGGGCGAGAGAATCAAAGGAAGGCTAGCATCAAGAGCAACGATTGGGGGGGGACCGGCTGAGGGGGGGGGAATCATCGAGCTGAAATCGGCGATACATCGCCGACAGATCGGCGACAGGGCGCCGATGGGGCATCCCCACGTTCCTGGGCCGGGTGGGTCACCTGGGCCCCTATCGGCTATGAGTGGGCGTTTGGAGGCCGAGGCGTCCCCTCCTGAGCCCATCCACCCCCCAACACGGCCCCTGAGCAGAAGTGTCGACCTTGGTCATCGTGCCCCCTGGTCGTCGTGAGTCCGTGAATCATCCTCGCGAAGCGGCGACGGACGACATGGAGCATGACCAGAATATGTATCGACAAGATTCCGCGATATCTTGGTCATGGTCACCGCGTTCCTTCCCTCAATGAGCAGGCAATACCTAGTGGCATTGATTATGATGGTGGTGATGATAATGATGACGATGATGTCTCATTCCCAGCAAACAAAACGGTATGACAAGGCGTTGGCCCCGCAGGGGCTCTCCGAGACCTGCTGTGAGTTCGCATGAAAAGAATTATAGGGCCATCGTCATCATCATCATCATCATCATCATCATCATCATCATCATCATCATCATCATAATCATCATCAGCATCATCATCATCTCATCATAATCAGCATCATCACCAACATCATCACAGTCATCAGCATCAGTGTCGTCGTCATCGTAATCATTAGCATCAGCAGCAACGTCATCATTGTCACCATCATCATCATCAGCATCATCATCACCGTCATCGTCATCGTCCTCGTCATCATCCTCGTCCTCATCATCATCATCATCAGCAGCAGCAGCATCATCATCATCCTGATCATGATCACCCTCATCCTCATCATCACTATCATCCTCACCATCATAATCATCATAGCCATCACCATCATCATCATCAGCAGCAACAACGTCAGCACCATCCTTATCAGAATCACCACCATCATCATCACCACCTTCATCACCATCATCATCAGCAGCATCATCATCATCATCAGCAGCAGCATCAACATCAACATCATCACCACCACCACCAATCATTGATCTTTTTTGAGTTTGGGGCCCATTCGAGCCTCCTGGGGAAGGGCCTAATGTGGACTCCCCCTTCTTTGATCGAACTCTTCCAAAATGGCCCCGAGATGGCCCCGAAAGCTCCCAAGAGTGCCCCAAGAGGGCCCCTAGAGGCGCCCAGGAGGCCCCAAGAGGTGCCCAAGAGGTGCCCAAGTGGTGCCCAAGAGGCTCCCAAGAGACCACGCAGGGGCCCCGAGAGGCTACCCCGAGGCACCCAATCTGAGAGGCTTCCAGGACCGCCAAGAGGCCCCCAAAACGCTCCAAAAGGACACCAAGAAGCTCTGAAGAGACATCCGAGGAGACTCCGACAGACATCGAAGAGGCCTCTGGCCATTCTGTTCGCCCTGCTCCTCCTCCTCCTCCTCCTCCTCCAACTCCAACTCCTCCTCATCCTCCTACTCCTCCTACTCCTCCTCCTCCACCACCTCTTCCTCATCCGCCTATTCCTCCTCCTCCTCCTCCTCTCCTCCCCTCCTCCATCCTCCTCCTCCATCCTCTCTCTCTCTCTCTCTCTCTCTCCTCCTCCTCCTCCTCCTCCTACTCCTCCTCCTCCTCCTCCTCCTCCTCCTCCTCTTCCCCATCCCCTTTCTTATCTTTCTCCTCCTCTTCCTCCTATTCCTCCTCCATCCTCGCCGTCTTGGGGTATGATGGTTTCCCCAGCCTTGGATTCCAATGCGTGCTCCTCCACATCCCTGATCAAGGCAACTCGCCTGGGCATCGTTTCTGGATAGACTGGTGGGATTACGGGAAGCGTTGAGACTAGGACAATGGAGACGAAGAGACAGGAAGAGACAAACTGAAGATACGAACTTGAGACAGAGAGACGGACGGGACAACCATACTCTAGCGCCACCAAAACAGAGGGCAATCGCTCTCCCAAAACATCGTCGCGCAATGCAAAGCAGAACAAGCCATGCTCGAATCAACGCAAAACAGGACAATGCAGATCAATGCAAAGCCATTCAAAGCAAGGCGAAGCAGTGCAAATACGGCAATACGAAGCAACGCAAGCGAAAGCAATGCATAGCAAGCAAGACAGCACATCACCAGATGATGCGCAAACTTTCCCCTGCTCCCCCCATTCCCCTTCTCCCACTTCTCAACTTCCCCCCTTCCCTGCCTCCCCCCTCACCCTTACCTTCCCCCACCCACCGCTATCCTCCACCCTTCCCTGCATCCCTGTCCTCTTCCCTTCCTATCCTGAGATCCGACGTCGCCAAAAAATTATAGCATCGTGTACAGCCACGACTGGAAGCCCTAAACCTGAGCTTTGCGCGGCAGCTCTCGAGCTGGATGTCTGCTGGGCCAGAACACGGGGCGAACACGCACGGTGCAAACCATGCGACGTAGGGATCCCAAGGTCCCCCATCCCGCCTCGCCGCCCCCCTTCTGCCCCCCTTCCCCATCTCCCCCACACGCATCCGGAGCCTCGATTTGTTCGAGACACGAGCCCCCGACCTCTCGACACCTCAAGACCGGCTTCTCATCCCGAGTCAATTTCTGACCGTCCCAAGGTCCGGTACGGGCCCCAAAGAGCCGAAAATGATGAAAACGTCCGTCTCGATTTTTCGGGACGCCAGGATGTCTGGGCCCTTCCCCTCCCCCACCCGGCCACCATTCCCCACCGCCCCCCACTCCTCACCCTCTTTCCCCTGCCCCCCTCCTCCTCCCCCCTCGAAGGCGAAAAAAATGTACCCACGGCCTCGCGGGCTGGGCCCTGGGGCCGCGACTCCGTGGACACGGCGCGTTTTCTCGCAGATGCCCCGTGCCCCGGCACCACGCCCTGGAACCCACGTACCGCGCCCCTGAATCCACATATCCACGGTACCTCGCCCCGGAATCCAGACCGCGAGGGCGTGGACATGGATGTGTTCGCCGATCGTGACACCCCTCCCCGCCCTCCTGGCTCCCGGCCTAGGCCTCCGAAGCCTGATGCTGTCACAACGTGGACCCCAGACGTATACACCGCCTCCCCGGGACCAGCCTTGCATCTCGAGCCGCTCTGTGGCGGCCCCGGGCTCCACTGGCGGTCCCCAAAGGCCGCACACTGCCGAGAACCTTCCGTCGTGACTTTGCTCGCAAGGCTTTGGGGGGACACCAGGCTACCGATACCGCTGCTCCCCAGACCGCTCCCAGGGTGCGGTCAGACCAGCACCTCGAGGAGAGTCCAGCCTCCAGGACGAGCAGCAGTCTCGGTTATTCCCCCCCACCCCCCCCCCGAACGCGAGGGGAGTCCCTCCCCCACGGCCCCCGGCGACTCCTCGTCCCGCGCAGCCGTCGCGGCGCCTGGCGGCCCGACGAGGGCGGCCCTCGGCCCAGCCGCGGAGGGCTCCCTCGCGGCGGCGTCCTCGCGGCGGCAAAGAGGGCATCAACGACACGCCGCCGTGAGGAGCCCATCACCGTGCTAATGCTAACGAAAAAACTTGCGCTCGGACCGCAGCGGCGGAGTAACACGCCGACGGGCTCCAAGTGCCAGCGCGTCGCTGATACAATCGTCGTGCCACCATAAGGAACGCCGAGCCGAACAAGGAACGAATGGGCCTGATTTGGCCGCGGCGAGCCTTGGCTACGAACAGGCCCCCCGACCTGGATCCAAGGAACGGCCCGAGCACCAGAGCCCGTCCTGCCCCCGAAACGAGCGACGAAAACAAACGGGTCTTACACAAGATGACATAGCGACCCTACGCGGTGGCCCACGCGGGCCGCTGGCACGGCACGCTACATGGGGAACGAAGACACTTACGCGCTGCCTTAGGCGGGCAGCTTACGCGCCAATGTCGGCACGGACGACCTGCTTTCTGCGTCGCTCAAATGGTTTTTCTCTCAGCGCCTTGGCAGTCCTCTCCCCCCCGAGCTGCGAGGGAACGGCGGGCCAAGGTAGCCAGGCTAACCTCCAGCCTGTAGTCTGCGGCGGTGCAGCCTTCGCCCGCCCCGGTGGCTTGCACTTGGCTCTTCCGGTGGTCTGCTGCCGGCTCGCCCTGGACATCGACGGGGATACACACATACGTATGCTTACATTCGTATGTACATACATGTCTCTCTCTTTCTATCTATATATATATATATATACTAGAACCATCGCGCGCGCTTCGCGCGCGCTCAAGTTCTAGCTAGGCTTGATGGGCGAACGCATGGAATATCATCCTGGTCGCTTCTTGCATCCAGGGGCTCTCTTGGAGGCCCTGCGCGAGCCTTGGAATCGCATAGAACAGGAACCGCGGAAACGCAAACATCATGAGTTGCCGTTCAGTATTCAACGATTTGGGGCCCTTGAAGGCCTCCTGGGTTCTTTTCTGGGGCCTTAATTGTGGTCTGCTGTGCAAGACCAGGCAAGGGGGGCGAACTTAGAAAAAAACGGAATGGTGGGATTTCCCTTTTTTCCAATTGTAGTGCCTGGGCTGTGGGTTCGACGTTTTCTGCCTGCAGGCCACGGTCTGTTCGGATGCCTCGCGGGGTCGTCGTGCCGACTTGATCAGTGGGTGAGTTTACAAAACAAGAATTCTAAAACTCGACTGCTTCATCGAATGGGGTCATGGGATCTCAATCGCTACAATTGTTTCAGGGGCAGCCAAGAGGACACGAAGACGATCCAAGAGAGTGCCAACACAGCGCCAGAGAGTTCAACCGCATTCCTGACATACTGTTACATGTGACCCCAGAATATTGATGGGGCCCGAAGAAAATGATAGGGAGTAGGAGTCCCAACCTGAAAAAAAAACACCTATGGGATTTCATCTTTTCCCCGCATCCAAAGCGGGGTTCTTGTTTTCTCTGCACAACCCCCCGCGCAGGATCTCTCCTCCCCCTTCTCTTCATCTCCATCATCACCATCACACGCTCTCACACACTCACACTCACACACTCCCTCCCCTCCCCGCCTCGCTCACTCCATCGTCATCACGCGATCACTCACTCACTCACTCTCGCACACTCACGCCCACCATCAGGATCACAATCCTCATCACTCGATCACTCACCCACTCATCATCATCATCATCATCATCATCATCATGATCACGATCATCATCATCATCATCCACTCACTCACCATCATCATCATCATCATCATTCATTCAGTCTTCGCCTCGTCATCACTCACTCCCTAGCTTGAATATGGAAGAAGTATCAGGCGAGAGTTTCGTCTGTGAGTGCATCGCGAAGAAGTCTGAAGCGGGAACCTCCTCCCTATGGGTCCCGCACTTCACGTTGGTAATCCGAGCGGGTCATCATCAACCCTGTAGCTGTCGTCACGTTTGGGCCCATAAGGCCTGAATATGGAGGCAGTATCAAGCGGGAACTTCGTCTGTGAGTGAATTGCGAACAAATCTCAGGCGGGAGTTTCCTCCCTATGGGTCCCGCGCTTCATGTTGGTGTCCCAAGCGGGTCATCCTCAACCCTGTAGCTGTCGTCGCTTTGGGACTCCACAAGCCTGAATATGTGTGAAGCATAAAGCGGCAGCCTCGTTTGTCAGTCGATTGGAAGGAAATCTCAGGCGGGAGCCCTGGGTCCCGCACCTCATGTTGGCAATCCGAGCGGGTCATCCTCAACCCTGTAGCCGTCGTCACTTTTGGGCCCCTGAAGCCTAAATATGGAGGAAGTATCAGGCGGCAACATATTTTGTGAGTGAATTGTGAGGAAGTCTCAGGCGGGAGTTTCCTCCCTATGGAGGCCGCGACTTATGGCCTGGGGAAGACTGTCCAAAGAATAATCAAAACGACCGCCCCAAACCCAGCCCAGGGGGCCCTGGCCGACGCTCGGACGCACTCCAGGACACTCTGCCCAGTATGATGCCTTTCTTGAGTTGCGTCTAGCTTCGAATGCTGCGCTCGGTCCGCTCATGGGAGAATCGCCCGACGCAGCGGCCAGCGCTGCGATGCCCGCGATGTCAACCTGCCCCCCGCGGAAACACCGCGCACAAAGCCATGCCAATTGATTGGCCCCCCACATCGACCCCGCCCCCCCCCCGCGCGCGGCTCCAAGCCCCCGATGCCGGTGATCACGGACCGCCAGCGCCGACCCGTAGTCGCACTCAGGAATCCAGCCATGGCGACGAGACCATGGGACGTGGCTTACCCGCGGGAACGGGGCGGAGCGTAGATGTTTCGTAGATGTTTCGTAGATGTTTTTGTGGGCGTAGATGTTTCGTAGATGTTTCGTAGATGTTTGTAAATGTTTTGCCGGCGAGGTTCGCCCCGCGAGCGGATTCGGGCTCGCGCGACCACCTCGCTTGTGTATTGTAGTTTACAGCACTTCAGGCGAGGTTCGGCCCGTGAACGGAATCGGGCTCGCGCGACCACGGTTTCAGCAGATGCGACCGCGTCGTTTTCGATCCCCCGGAAATGCACCGGAGATGTTTCGTATATGTTTCGTAGATGTTTCGTATATGTTTTTGCGTGCGTAGATGTTTCGTAGATGATTCGTAGATGTTTCGTAGATGCTTCGCAAATGTTTCGTAGATGTTTCGTAGATGTTTGGGTAACCGGGGCTCGTGGGCAGGCGGGGTTCGAGCGCTCGGAGCCCCCCCCCCCGAGGGCTTCTGAGTCCCTCCCACAGAGTTCCAAGACGCCATTTTGAGAGCCCTCACAGGACGTATGATATCGTTTGGGCCGAGCCATTTCGATGCGTGGTGGCGCCATGCCAACTGACTCCATTGAACAGAGCAGCCCGCAATGACAACAACACAGAGAAAGCCCACTGCACGGCCCCGCCACGCAAGATCAAACCACCAAATCACGCGATCCGCCCAAACCAATAGCAAAAAAACTGAGCTGACGGAGCGGCGCCAAAATCGCTTCCCAGTCGAAGCCAACCAAATAAAACCTGGACAGCCCACCACTCGCGGCCTCTACAGGTCCCGCTTTTCACGGTGGCAATACGAGCGAATCACCACCAACCTTGTGACTGTCGTCACTTTTGGGTTCCGGAGGCATGAATATGAAGGAAATATAAAGCGGGAGCTTCGTTTGGTGGGTGAGTTGTAAGGAAATTTCAGTCGGGAGCCTCCTCCCTATGGGTCCCGCACTTCATGTTGTCAGTCCAAGCGGGTCATCCTCAACCCTGTAGCTGTCGTCACGTTTGGGCTCCTGAGGCTTGACTATGGGGGCACTATCAAACGGGAGCTTCGTCTGTGAGTGAATTGTGAATAAGTCTCAGGCGAGAGCCCCTTCCCTATGAGTCCCGC